TTGATTTTAATATTTTTGATTTTAATATTTTTATTGTACATAGATAAATATTTTTATTGTACATTTTATCTCTTGGTTGTGAGCTGCCCAGAGTTTATACAAGATGGGCAGCTACATAAATGTTTTAAATCAATCAATCAATCAATCAATCAATCAATCACTCAATCATTTAAAAGAAACCGCAAACAAGGAAAAAGAAAACCTGGATTACTTAAACACTAAATATCTTTAAAACCCCTTATTTTTGATCTTGCATTTAAATTGCTATGCACTACTATCCAAATGTTAATGTTACAGCAACTATTGCAACACTATAATTCATCCTTGAAAGAGAGGCTGGTTCCACCTTGAAGTAGGTTGTGCTATACCCCTTCCTCAAGAACCCCTCACTGGACCAAATGGGACTGGACAATTTTCATCGAGTCTCTAACCTTCCTGTCATCTGATGGGATCTAGAAAGCTTCTCTGTTGTGGTACCTGACCTTTGGAATAGCATCCCCTGAGGTTCAGACTGCCCCAATCCTGCAACCTTTTAAATGATCTCTGAAAACATGCCTCCCACAGCTCTGGGCTAAGTTCAGCTGTGCTTATCTAGTGTGGTGTTTGTTTCAGTTAGAGTAGGTCTATTCCCCCATTATATTTACTGTTTTCTTTTTGTTTTTAGACACTGCATCTGTTTTTAATCTGTATGCTGCCCAGAGACAGTGTTGAGTGGGGCAATCTTATAAATCTAAATTATAAATAAGTAAACAAACAATTTTAGATTCTGGAAAAAATCTATCAGTGTAATATATTTACTCAGGGAAATAAGATGTTTTTCATGCTTATTGATTTGGAGTGGTGTCGATAAATGATGAAAGTAGGACATATTCAGAGGCTGAATTGATATCTGGCATTACATATAAAAGAAAATGCTTATATCTGTAGGTATTTTTGTTATTCAAATGGGGTGTTTATAGACAGTTTTTAAACATTGGTTATATTAAAGTGCAAGAACATTGTGCTGTATAATTTGGGGCATGCTTAATACAAAATGCAGCATAAAAATTACCTTTTCTTCATTATGAATGATTTTTACTATACCTGCTTGGACATGAGTACAAGGTTGAATTCCCACTGCATCTAATTTATTATTACTGCTGTAGATATTGTTTTGTGTTATACTGCATAGAGTATTTCTAGAAATATATTGCAAAAACCTACAGGGGAGGAAATGACAAAATAAAACTGCTTTGGAAGATATTGCATTTTTATAATAGACCAGCACATTATTCCCATAGAAAAGCACTTTAAGAAAATGGTTTGGATATTTTCATCAAAAAATATTTTTTGCAAACCCATTCTATTTAGACTTTGTGCTGATAACTTGGAACATATATTTCAAATAAATTTCATATGATATTCTGGTGCATGACCTCTAGTGTGCTTAATTTTGTTTTCAATTAGCATCTCCCATCAATGGACTTATGACTTTCATCTGAAACACAGGAAATAGATGCTTTCCCTTCTATCTACTGTCTCAATTCTGAAAGCAAATCCTTAGCTAAGTTCTTGCTGAAATTAAAATTAGACAAATACTTAGAATTATAGCCCAACCCTCTGCTTGTATAATCAGAAATTGGTAGCACCAAGTTCAGGGGACTGATTCCCTGACATATGTATCCAGTATTGCCTGTTTTATGTACCAAACATAATGAACTCCCTTCCAACACTTTTTCCCCCACTGGGAAGATGTAAATAATTTCAGCTTACGAATGCTTGGGGAAAGGCTTGCAGGACTGGAATCTAAACTCACTTTCCAAACCACTTATATAATAAAAGCAATTGCCTATTCAGAATTTAATTTTTAAAAATCTGATATTTGTATTTAAAAACAATGTATGACATGGATGAAGGACAGAGCATTTAAAAATATTAAAGTACTGTTTTTGTTTGGCTGCATTTGCTAATGACCAAATTCTCTCAATCTCCAGCTAAAAAATCCAGATCAATTAGATGTTTGTACTGCTAGCAACATTTTAGGCTATGTGGTAATCCATTATCGAGATGCACAATAGGTTATACAGCATTCATGTAGCAGGATTACAGGCGGGACATGAGCAATAGCATAATGCAATTGATGGCTTCCCTGCATGAAATATGTGAGAATCATTCTCTTAGTATTATTGTACCATTAATTATAAAAATAATAGAAGTAATAAGCTAATTTATTATGCTATACTCACAATAATCTCTCTCAATATTACACTTTATGCTGGGTTAATATCAATAGTCCTTTTGTCCTGCTTTGCAAGTTCAAGATGCTAATGTCATCTTGTATAAGATCAAAGCTCAGTTTCATTGTTAATGTACAAATATTAGTTTAATCCTGTTCATTGTAATGGATACCATCTAATGAACAGGGATCTACATAATTATTATGTACAAATGAAATATAAAATTGAAAATCTTTATGAAATCTAGATTACAGAAAACTAGATAGAATTAATTAATTTGGAATCTTTGCTTGCTGTTATAAAACAGCTTGCTATATTCACTTGTAATATTAAACCTGAGATAAACATTACAAATGTCAAAAGAATGTATTCTTCCTTCCGCAGGAGGACCCAGACTGCCCTCTTGAGTGTGCCAAACAGTACAGAGTACTTCACATACAATGCAACTGGCATGCACTTTAGTTTGGAATCTGCTTGGGGATGAAATTCTTGGCTAATGCTGTGGAAATTCTGATACTGCAAGAGACAGGCTGCTTTAATCAGTGATGAAATAAGAAATCACTTTCTTTCAACAATGCCATGCTCTTGGCTTTGCTATTTTCTAATGATAATGTTAATTGTTTTGTTTTTTCAAAATGTGCTACAGCACACAGGCATCTCAACAGGGAGTCTTTTAGAGACAAAACCATTACCATTTTTTACCATATTTGTTGAGGGTATGTACTACATTAGTTTGGAAGTATTCCATAAAACAAAATGTATCATCAAATAGTGCACAATTAATACATTGAGTGTGCATATAACACATAATTTAAATGTGGTGCTTCTGTATTGGCTTGGAATTTTATTGCTGATTCATCTCACATTAGGATTTTTGGCAAAAAGTGTAAAATGCTTAACTGCATCTTCATGGTTGTATGCTTCAGTCAGAAAACTGCAGAATCTTCTAAGTTCAGCAGAAACAATTTTAGCAACTAGCTATGAGAAACAATGATTTTTCAGTCATACAGCTAAATTCATTTCAACCTAATTACTTAAAAAGCCTTGAGGTTGGGTGGCATCAGTGGTTAGCAGTTGATAACATTCGGCAGAATTAGTAAGGTTGTCCAAAATAAAGGATAATCTGGTGATATGGTATGTACTGTTGAAAAAAGGTTATTTTCCAATAATCATGTACTCCTAAAGCTTTCTTTTGTTGTGATAGAATGAATAATGTTGCCATAAAATAAGTGATGTCCAGGGATTAATGTCCTTGAACAGGGAAGAAAATGCAACTAGTTGATAGGTCTTATCAATTATAAACCTTCAGGAACTCTCCATAATCTAAACAGAATAGGCATGGAAAATCTCTGACCAGTCCACAATGGCCTTAGTTGAAACCTCTTTCCAAATCACCATCCCTTTCTGTTTCCTTACTGGGGATACTTACTTCTTTATTCTTGCTTTATGTTTCATTGGGACCATAATTTCAGTGTCTTTTATTGCCATGTTTTCATTCCCCCTGCCCTTTATGTTTTCTGCCTAAAAAGATGAAAGGCAAGCTAAGATGCCTCTCTAGTGTTATGTCCTTCTATGAATCCGAGGCTGAAAAGGCAGACCTGATGAATTATCAGCCTGGGGAGCTGTCAGGCAATCAGTTAAGACAGATCACAGAGACAATGAACCTGAATAGGTGGGGGCTAACTCAAATCACAAGGGGCCTGATCCAGATAGGATGCCCAGTCCAAGAATATACCAACAATTATGAAGGGCAGGACTGAAGTGGTCAGCTCTTCTCCTCAAGAGGCAGCAACCCTCTAACTAAGTCATGCCAGGAACTGGGATTATGTAAGAGCAACCTCCAGACTCTTTTCTCTTTCTTGGAAACAGCCCTCCTGTCTCTGGATTGACAGCTCCCCAGGCTGATTTTACCTTTGGCTTCTTGTTTCTGCCTCCTTGCCACGCAACTTGAACATCTGGTTATAATCCTGGACTGGACTCCTGGATTTCTCTGCTTTGGCCTGGCTGTTCTCACTGGCAATTTGCCTGACAAAATGCAAGAACTCACCTTCTCTGTATATATCCTGACTCTTGATTTACAACCTCTCAGACGAAGTGCAATGTCTGCCTCTCAAGTTAACTGTTGTATAAGCCCCTCATTAAACTGCTTGCAAAATTGCTACACAGAGACTGTTATTCCTTGGCTGACTTCGGGATAGGGAGCTACCATTTCAAGAGATATTCTGTCTTTGAGAATTTCTTAGACAGCCAGGTTTAAATTTACACATTCATGCATATATGCAAGGGTTGCGTAAATGCAGCTTCAAGCACCTCAGAGGCCACATGCCCTTAGCGGGATGGCAGTGACCACTGCATGTGGACCTCCATGTACCTGCCAAGAGCCAAAACAGGTTCCTCAGTCTTACAGAATTCGATATCCATCTCTCCATTTTTCCCAAGCGTATAACTAGCTTTACAGATGACTGCTTAAGCACTGTCTTTCATAATACGACAGCAATGACAAAGGAATAGTCTCCATCTAGTATATATGCATAAATGATTATAATAATTACTTTATAGAAGTAACTAATTGAAATCACAATGAAAAGTGAAACATCTTAATATTTACCTTGAGAGGGGGAAAACTAACTGTATATTCAAAGCAATATTAAAAAGGTTTTTTTTCTTTTCCTTTGACAACACTCATCCTTTAAGAAAATAAAGTGTATGAATACAACCACTCATCCAATTCCCATGACTTTAATGCCATTTAGGTTCTGGAAATCATTTCAGAGAAAGATTAGATCCCTAATCTTTAAAAGAAACATTTTAAGTCCTATGTGAAATATGCTTCACTTTTATGAAAACCTGAAAATTTATTTTATTTCTTCTTCAGCAGATAAAAGTTGTTCAGGTTCTGAGAAAGAGCTTTTAGTAGTCTCAGTAGGAGCTATATTATTAGAACTAGTGTAACATTTTGAAAACCACATGTAATCATTCTTAGGTGCAGAATGTAGAGCAATGGATTTATCAATATGGCTTTTGGGAAATCGACCCAGAATGGAATGCTTAATATCTGGATATTGGACAAATGAAGTCTGATAAATAGTACGGCAGGCATTACTGCTAGGAATTGGTTCGTGGGCCAAAAAACAGTAGTTTTGCGAATAGTGTTGACACTTCTCTTGAAATTTTCTTAGTCCTAGCCCCTAAAAGAAATGGGGAGAAAGCATTTATTTTAGGATGATACTATAGATTAAGATAGCTAATAATATTCTGTATTGTGTTAGCAAATCATCAGGAAAGGTTTTACTAAAAGATCTGGGATAGCATCTTGATAATTGTTTACAAACTATTTCTGAAATTTATTCTCATCTGATACATAGCAGAAGTAGGTACTTGCAGCCTCAGTGCAGCAGGAGTATAGACATCACAGAAACATGCAGTATCCCAGCAAGACTAACCTCTTTTCCTCAAACTGAAAAAAGATGTGTAATTCCCTCACTCATTATAGAATAGATTTTTAATGTGTATCTATTTCTAATTGAAGTGTGTAAAGCAGTTCTGGTAAGTACTGCAGGCCACATACAAGACAACATCTGGATGAATCTTAGATTATCAAACCCTGCATTTGTCAGCATTTGTTTTTGACATTATACATATTTCTATGCACTTCTATGCAATTAAGATCCTCTAGTATGCCTCAAATTTTGGGGAAGATATATGTGTTTATCAAAAAGAGAAAAGTTACATATGAATTGCCCTACTAAATAATAAATTTTATTACTACGGCTAAAGGCCAGGCCAGTACTAAATAAAAATATACCTATATTTCTACAAAAGAAAATTAACAGCCTATGACTTGATATACTATCAAGTTTAGTTATGTTTCACAACTGACAAAAGACCAAGATATTTCAATAAACTGTCATCAATTTTGCTATTTAGCTTTTAAAATCAATTCTGCAATAATTCTACAAGAAAGAAATTCTGTAATAGAGAACAAATCTAAATATTTCCAAAATATATTACACACACCTTACAGAGAGAATTATTAAGAATTATTCTTTTTAAAGAAAATAACATAAAACTGAATACTTACAGAATCTAAATATTCTCCTACATTCACTAAAGAATGTCTATTGTCATGGATTGAAAATGGAAATGTATTTACTGGTTTCTAAAAGAAAATGAAAAAAACCCAGTCTTTTGCATACATACGGCAGGGTCATAGCCTTCACATTCTACAGAAATCAAAATTACATGTATATAAAAATGCGTGATACAAATACACATTTGTTAGTTCAGAATATGTTATACTCATAACAGAATTTAATTTTATCTAGTCTTTCTTTAAGCATGCCAAACTATTGAATTAAATCAACTTTACTTTTATGGGTACAAATTACAAAAAAAAATCCAGGATTTCTTTTAGAGGCTTACTACTGAGTCTACTGCTAATAAAAGCTGAACTTCAAGAGGAAACTCATAATTGAGTCAACCTGAGATTTATGAGCTCAGTGCTGCACACTGATACTATATATTAAATTGCAGAATATATATTTAAAAGTACTAAGTCCCAAATCTAGCAAACATAGGGATGCATGTTAAATTTTATTATTTGCAATCTCCCAGGTTTTGCTCTCTGTACTAAGCAAAACCAAAGAAAACTAGCTTTCTTTGAAACAAAGTCAACCTATTCCCTCTTCTCCAACAAGACACTAATAATGTTAAGAGTCTTAATTTATAACCATAGAATTAAATGAGAACTAAATAACCAAGTAGTGCATTTCCCTGAAATAAAGAATAATTTTTGGTGTTAAAAATATAACAGACCAAAAGAGGCAATTTGTCTAAGTTAGATCTTCTCAGAAGTGTATTAGGAACTAAAGGACCACAAACACTTGGAACTAATACTTTTCTAATTTTTTGTTACTAATATCTTTCTAATTATTCATAATGTCATGTGGCATCATAAAAAGATGAAAATCATTTAAAAGCCCTTTTAGCATCACAGGAATCTACTGCTTTTATTTCTACTAGTCTAATATAAAGAGAAAAAAATAAAAAAAAAAGACCAAAAAAAAGACAACTCCTTACAAAATTCAATTTTTAAACAAAGGATTAAACCTTGACCCCATGGGTAATACTGAACAATCTTTAATAAAAATCCAGTTCATGCACTGAACACATACTTTTTTGGGGGGAGGGTGCCTCTGAGTCAGTGTTGATTCCTGGCAACTGGACAAGTCCCTCCAGTTTTCTTGGCAAGATTTCAGAAGTGGTTTGCCATTGCCTCCTTCCTAGGACTGGGAGAGAGTGACTGGCCCAGGGTCACCCAGCTGGCTTTGTGCCTCAGGTGGGACTGGAATTCATAGTTTCCTAGTTTCTAGCATGATGCCTTAACCACTACACTAAACTGACTCTCTGAACACATACTATCAATCCAAAATTGTAATGCCAGAGTTGCAATATTTTTCTATGGTCAAAGAATAATAATTTTTGTTATGCCCAATGCTTGGTAAAACTGATAGTTCTTCATATATTCATAAATTCCAAATTCTTGGTATATAATTTAAAATCACATTCTCATCCTTAAGATACATTACTCTTCCGAAAATCATATTACCACACATATTAATAAACACGTCAAACCAAAATATGCTAGGGAGGCATGTGAAACCATGGTTATTTAACCACGCCTAACCAGCCTATGGTTATTTAACTAGACCTAACCAGGCCAATAAGATCGGGAGGATGTATGTACCTAGCATATATGTGCACACTAATGATGTTGTACTTAGGATTTTGGTGGAAAATTGAATTAATGTTATTGTATGTTTCTTCTTATAAATAGCTTTTGTAAGCTGCTTAGATTCATTTTTGATTGAAGTAGAATAAAGACATAAATAAATAAATAAATAAATAAATAAATAAATGCTGTGTAAATATCCCCCCATCATTTTACACTTTAAGTGTAATGACACTGAAGCTAACCTTTTTTAAACATTCTCTGAAGTGTCCAATAAATATGAAAAAATAACTTGTTGAATTAGTCTCATTTTAAGATGTTAAGAAATATTACTTGTATAGCAGATTGAAAAACATCCAAAACTATTGATAGTATTTCAGGAGTTTTAGATGTTGATAATGCAAAATTAGGCGGCTGAGACTAGAAGGAGATGTTTCTCCATTGTGGCCCACATTTTGTGAAACAATCTTCCATAGCAGGTTCTGTTTATGTGGGTTGGGGGGTGGACACACAAGATGGTGAAGTTCTGCTTATCTGACTGCTGGCTTTTTGGGAGTTGATCAAAATGGAGCTCTTCTAGAGGGCTTTTAATTGTTAATAGTTATTGGCACAATTTTAAAATTTAAATTAATAATATATTTAATAGCTTTATTATTTAGTTTATATTGTTGTATTGTAGATGTTTTTATTTGTGTAAATTGCCAAGATTTGTAAGATTGTAGCTTTCTAAAAATCAAAATAAATCTGAACAAAATTGTGTAATCAAAAGGATCTTTAATTGGATATACTATTCTGCATTTTTAGATAATCTTTCAATAATGAATATAATTTAAATTGGCAATAAGCTGATCTAAAGTAGTAATACCCCTATTAGCCTGTTTCCCAACCCCCACTGCTGAAAGATATTTACCAGCTCTTTTGAAACTTAGTATATCCCAAAGTATTTATTTATCATGTGAATAATAATCAAAATTGTACTTACACCCCATCTTCTAGACATGCCTTAGAAAATTTAATGCTGGAAATACTGTAGAATTATAATTAAATTTTTAATTATAAAAGAGGAATTAACCCCTACCATGATATCAAAAATATAATATATTCACTTTCTAATTGTGCTTATAGTGGTTTTTTTTAACTCAGTCACTTGGATCCCATAGAGAAATAGAAATTAAAATGTATCCCCAATGATAAAGCTGAAAATCAGGAAAGCTTAAATTACTATTACTGTATAATAACTATAAATAGTAATGGGAATTAAGGGTTTATAATTCCTATAAAATCTTTCTTAAGAATTTATCAATCTGTTTGAAATAATATAAAGATATTAATATAAGAATCACTCTAATTATATACATCACTCCTGAAGTAATAATCATTTTTACATTTATCTTCCTATAAGCTCACCTGCATTTTTAAGTCTACTTATATAAGTATTAACCTGACATAACCAATCTGAAACATTTCTATGAACAAGGATATTTTTCTTGGGGTAATTATTCCAAGATGTGTAAAAGAATTCAAACGTCAAGCAAAATTCCAATTTTTTCATATGTATATGTATATGCATATGTATATATGTACACAGTATATATCTGTATGTATGTGTGGATATGTGTGTGTGTGTATGTATGTGCACATATACTGTGTGTGTGTATATATATATGCACACACACACACATATAGTGTGTATATATATATATACACACACACACACACACATACATACATACATACACACACACACACACTGTAGAAAGTCTAGGACACTTACTAGAATTAATTAATTGGACAATTTACTGTGATATATCATTACATTTTGATATAGAACATTCATAATTTGTATTTAATTCCAGCTGTTTTAATGCCCGGAATGTCCTTCAGACAGGTCAGTGGGTCCAATATCAAATTAAACATAAAAGGGCATTGTAATTCAATTAATGAAAAAGGAGATCATATTTGGCCTAAACTTGTCCAAAAATTTGATCTCCACCATACCCAAGACCTTTGGTGCATCCAATGAAATCGTGGATTCCATTTTTTCTGAATGTGTAACTAAAGTATTAATAATATTATCTGAGGCTTGTCATCCTTTTATAAAAACAGATGGCACAGGGTGGATAACTGAAAATCATGTCTTCTGTAATCTACATGCCAAGTTCACTGTCAAAATTCTGGCAGCAACTTTTATGAAAGAAATCAGGCAATAGCTTGCACAATCAGCAGAATTTTTACCAACCTTCAAAATCTTAATTATGCATGTTTCATTAAAAGAAGTTGGGAAAACTGTACTCAGAATAACAATGTTATAAATCTCCAGCAATATAGGAGTGAAAGAAGATCAAGATATACCTTATATCACTCAGCAGGATAGCTATTAGCACCAGGAACTTTTTCTGTTTCATAGATTTAATATGCCTATTATTTCCTGAATAGATAAAGGTGCAGCTTGATAATGTCTTGATCACATATATTCTTTGGAAAACCTATATATATTTTTAGAAAAGAACAATTTCTTCCTTGGTAATCTGACTTGATACTACATGCTGATTTACTATTTCAGACTAATTATATAGTTTGTTCTGAGCAACATTAATAACAGAATTGTTATTACTTGGTTGCTGCTGTTTCAGGCAAGAGGCCAATAATTTACCAGGTCTTTCACCTCACTCCCGATATTTTTGCTTTATGCAAGCAATTCAATGAATATTCTATACATACTTCATAAAGGAAATTAAATTCCAATTTAGCAAACATGAAAGCTTTATATAATTCCAGATATCAATATTAAGATATATAAAAGGGTACTATAGGGAAGATGGTCAGGAACTCTTTTCTACTGCCACAGAAATTGGACTAGAAATAATGAGTGTAACCTGTGGCTAAGTAGATTTCATTTAAGTATAATGAAAAACTTCCAAATGGTCTGATACCTATGAAGGCTGTGGATTCTCCATCTCTAGAGTTGTGTTTTTTTTAAAGAGGCTGGACAGCCACCTATTAAAGATGGTTTAATTAGTTTTCCTGCACACTGCAGCAGATTGGACTAGATGAACTGTGTGGTCCCTTCCATCTTCACAATTCTATTACATAGATAGTAAAGTAATATCATTAATGAATGCAATACAATTATTAAAATATTTACTCACCAATGTTAAATAAAACCCTTCTAAAGAACATATTCCACTGTGAATTTTTAAGACTTGCTATTCAAAGTTGCTATATTTCTGGCAGACTTTAAATTTGAACTAATATATATTTGACCAACGCATCTTGTAGATAAAAAACCTCTGTCATGTTGAAGGATGAGTTTCTTGTATAAAACAAAAATAAAAACAAGCAAACCTGAATTTAACTAAGTACTATCCCTTCTTGGAAGGATATCTATCACCTTTTATATTACAGGAAACAAAGATGTCACAAGTGAA